GAGAGAGAGAGAGAGAGATCTGACTGTCACATGCAGCGATAATAAACATATTGGGTTGCTCCTACAAAAGGAATGCAGGCTGCACATCCTCCTGCTGTCTATGTTTTTGGTAATAGTAAAGTCTGAGGAGGTAACAGTGGACAGAAAGGACCACAGGACGGACTTATTACAAAAATGCCAAATATTACCCACGTTCTAGCCTCAATTGTGAGGATTTTAAGGTTTCTGTTCTGGGTTTTAAACTGTAGGTCGGTGAAAAAGACGTCACCTCAGGCTTTTGTGACATTTGGCAACGATTAATGAGTTCATCGAGAACATAATCTAGAGAAGCTGATAATGAAAATAATCATTAGTTTCAACTCTACAGTGCAACATGGTTTTATTAAATTACAGCAGATTACTCTGAATATAAAACCAAAGCTGATAAGTCTCAGTGATATCTTATGTACCAAAAATGTGTGATTCCTGAGCGTTGCCACACATCATACTTTGTACTAGAAAAAACTGAACTACATTTAAAAAAATGTAGATTCATATTTAGTGTCCCAGAGGAGGATTTGTTTTCACAGCCAGCACAAATAAACACTTACACATGCGATCTTCAGTAAATGCCAGAACTCTCTCTGTCTCTTTATCTGCATCTGCATCACTGTGTTGTCTGCGTCCTTAATACTCTCCAGAGTTTTCTCAATTCGTGGAAACAAGTCAATGATCTTCTGTTTGCTGATCAGGATCTTACTGTTGGTAGGAGCAGACAGAGCAGATGTTAAAGCTTTTATATAGGAGATCTGAAACATGAATATAGCAGCAAGCAGCGTTGGTGATTGTTATAGACCAACAAAGACGTGTTTTTAACATACAGTATTATTGTATTGGCTCTTTGATTATTTGGAGAAAGTAAAAAGGTCTGATATTCCCAGTAGAATAAATCAGTGTCTGTGAGGGGTGTTGGACTCTTACCTGAGGTGGGTGTACAGATCCTTGAGGACCTTGTCTTGGTTCTGGACAGTCTGAATGATGGCCTTCACCATCTCGGAGCTGTCACTGCTCACATCTACGTCAGGAGCTGAGAGATGAGCATCAGATAAACTACTGAACACACATTTCACTTTAAACTAAAGAATCCACTGGATTTCTGAGGTAAGTAATTACACTGTGAGAACAGAACAGTCTGATTGACAGTAATTTAAAATGTTTCTTACTTTTGCATTTCATCTTCAGCTGCTTGTAGAGCTCGATCGCTTTTTCCTCTCTGCAATATGAATTAATCACATTTAAACATTTACCAGCCTGAATTCTAAATCAGCACATACAATAAAACATTTAGAGTGAAAAGCTGTTTATTTTGTGGTTTTTCAAACAGCAGATTATTGTCTGAAGCAGCATATTTACAATATTGTTGACCCTGTCTTTGTCTGTTTGCCCCACGAGTCTCTGGCCACGCAGCAGCACAGAGGACGGTTTGTCTGCTTTTTAACAACAAATCCAATCCAGTGGCAGGTGGTAAGCGGACGGCTGATCATCACAATGAAGTAGACACCCGCACTGTGCTGCTGATTGTTGACTCACTGTGTCGTCCCAGTCATCTGGAATCGGCCAATTCTTTCTTAAATTAGGGCTAAAATGCAGTTTTGAGGTCACAATGACCTTTGACCTTCGAGTGAAAAGTGTTACAGATTCAGAGCCACAATCTCCTCTTCTCTTTCTGAGTTACAGTGTGAATATTTGGCCAATTATTATTAATTATTGTATCTCATTAAACTTCTGTCTGAAAGTGTCACCAATTCCTTTATTCATTCATTCATTCCAGCCAATTGTGACATATAGTAATCAATTCATAAGTTATGGCCAAAAACATGTTTTGTGATATCCTTGACTTTGAACCACCAAATGCAAGTTGGTTCATCCTCTAGTCCAAGTGGACGTTTGTGCCAAATTAAAAGAAATTCCCTCAAAGTGTTCCTGAGCTATCGCGTTGGGAAGAATGGGAGACAAAAACATAATCCCTCTGGCCATAAAGGCATAAAGAAGTATGAGAAAGCACAACGACTGCATCTCTCATAAACCTACATGTGGTTTCTCTGGAAATGTCTGCACATCAGATTGAATACTGTCCTGTCAGTTTCCACAAAGTTCTTGCACTATAAACTCTTTTAACAGATAAGCAGGATCCAAAACTGTTCACTAGTGGTCTGAAGCTGGATTTCACATCATCATATCATCACATATATCTTTTTAAAATCAACAAAACATGGCAGATAGACTATTGTTTATAAGTATGTAGATGACGTATTGTCAGGTCAGACCGCATTGACACTTACAGCTGCTCCATTTTGTCTCCTTGGCGTCGAGCGTACGGGCTCCTCTGAAGTTCTACTATCTCAGAGTGCAGAGCCATGATCTCATCGTCCAAGTGGCTCACCTCTGCCACCTGCAGGACAAACCAGGAAAATGCCACTGTGAGGATTTGAACTGAGAAACATTACAGGCCATTTAAAACGTTCAAAACCTGCATCACCTGTGCAAACGCAGCAGCTCTTTCCTCGTTCTCCTGCCACGCTTTCAGCATCTTTTCAGAGGCTTTGGACGAACACAAACAGCTCATCAAACCAAACAACATCTTGCTCAGTGCTATAAAAACACTCCCGTATGTAAATGTTCCCCATTATCAATGCAAACAGCTGCCAGTAAACACTCACATATGCCGTAGTGCATCTGATCGCTGTATTTTTCCAGGTCGTACTGGATGCTGCTCTTGAAGAAGTCCAGCTTGGCCTTCAGCTGCTGAGAGAAGCCAAACATGCTGTTCTTACACCTGGTCAGGTTGGTGTTGTAGCGCAGGAGACTCAACCTGGAGGGACACAATTAAGAGTTAGAAAGGTTTGGAAGGAAGGAAAAGCCCCAGTGCAGTATCTGCAGGTGTGAGGCTACGTTGGGAAGCAGCTGGTGACTCTGTGTGTATCAGACTCATGGCTAACAGGTTAACAGTGGGAGTTAGCAGGGACAAGAACCACAGTGTGAGGGGAAAAGACCATTTAAAGTAGTCCACAGAGGAAACCTTAAAGGATTCAATTTGCTGATAAAGCACCTCGGATGGATTTTAAAACCTCAAAGAAAGCAATTTAATAACCATTTCACAATCCCGCTGGATAACGTATGATGGAAAACCAGTAGAGACCGTACGGCTTAAAAAGTATATTATATAACCTTTCTTCAGTACTTCCCAGCAGTATAGAAGCATTTTTCCTAATGATATTATATATTATATTAACACAACAGTGACCCGGATAAGCAGCAGAAAATGGATAGATGGATTAACTAACTGAAAGTGATTGATTCTATTAGGTTTTTTTGCTGAAATAAATACTTCGTTATGAGCTGTAGCTGCAGTAATGACAGTGTTTTCTGATCCTGCAGCACAATCCCACTTTTAGTTTATAGGTGCAGCAATATCTCATAACCAACATTACTGCCTACTGCAGCCAACTGATTTTCTGCACAGAAAACGTCAACACTGAAATTAATTTGTGGCCAAGATATCTCCTGTGGTCTTTTTCTGATTTGGCTGCCAATTCAACACATCGGCCCTCTTCGGTGTTACCAAACTTTGACGGAACAGAAGCAGAATATTAATAT